GATGCGTCCAGAGATTTCAAAAAAGAATCCATAGGCCGCGTCCAGACAAGCATGGCTGTGCGGTACGTGGTATGGCAGACATGTCTGCAGCACCACATACCACGCGTTCAGTTATTCTCTGTGCTGCAAGGGAGCAGCACAGCAGGTTTTTTAAACCCTGTGTATCCAGGGGTCAAAAAAACCCCACAGAGAAAAAAAGCAGAGCAACACATGCATGGGCAGCACATGCCAATCAAAAACCGAGCCGAGCCACCCAGAGCTGTGCTGCGGCTGCACGCCAGGCTCCATGCAGCAGAATCGCCACAGCTGCAGCCCCAAGAGACCCTTAGGATCCCAGGTAAGGCTGCTGGGGCCAGCCCAGTGCTAGCCCCAGCCTCCCCTACCACCCCCGGGTAACTTGCCATGCACCAGGGTGCACGTGGCAGGCACATTCCCTGGGAACAACTAGCAGCAGCACAAGGTGTGCCACTGCTAGCTGTCCCCTGAGAAACAAATGTTCATGCATGTTGTGGACATAGCCATAGTGTCAAAAACATTGTGATCTGTTGTGGTCTTTCTGAGTTCTTTGCAATAACAGAATTGTTCTATTATTTTCCCATAGTCAAAAAACAAGTGAAAGCTAGGAGCTGGCATCTTCTGATTGCCACTGTGAGCATAGGCGGTGGAAGGTCAAGGCTTGTGGGGGCTTAAGTCCCCCAAACTAATTTCATGGCAGCTGGCAATAGCAGCAGCACCACAGCACTGCTCAGCATGCAGCCAGGCCAGCGCCCCACATGCGGTTATCTCCGCACAGCTGAGGAAGAAGTGGCTAATCACGCATATGTTGTACCATACAGAGCACAATGGGAGTTCTAGTTCTCACACTGATGCATGCACTCAGCCCCCACAAATAATATTTTCTCCCTCCATCTATGGCTGTGAGTCTAATGAGGGGTTCCTTGCATCTAAAGAGGTTGAAAATCACTGATGTACAGAAATGTTAAGTGCACAATGTCTCATGTTAGAGCTGACAAAATCCTGTCTAAATGCTTACATATGCATCCCTCAACATCATGCTACCCAATTGTATCTAAAGATAATCCTTCTCTTTTCATATATGGTTCAGAATTAGTGCTGCACTTTCAACTGTGGAAGTATACAAGAAGCAGCGGCTCAAGCTTTAGACAAGCAAGTATGCAAACATTGTATTGCTTATAGAAAGGCTTCACAACAAAAAGCATGGAAGTAATAGTCCCTTTGCTTAGTGCTCCAGTGTGAGGACCACCTGTAGCATCCCATTCACTTTTAGATACATCATTATTAGAACAACACTGGGTCCTGATGAGAGGGTTAGAGGAGACCTATAAAAGAATGGCAGGATTGATTGATTTGCAAAGATGTAAATTAATTTGTTTTGGATGGGAAATGTACAATGGAGTTGTGGAACAGTAACAATAGCAAAGTGGTTGAAGAGTTCAAATAACAAGAAAGGAGAGGAGTGCCATTCCTTTTACTAAAGGGAAAAGTTAGGTCAGGTAGACTACAAAGATCTAGCCTGCAAAAGCTGTGAGTTGACAAAGATGACTCACCACCCAACTGTATGAAGGTTTGCAATAGACATTTCTGAAGGAGAATCTCAGTTTAGAGCAGTGGTTTTCAATCTTTTTCATTTGCAGACCCCTAAAAAAAAATTGAATGGAGGTGTGGACCCCTTTGAATTGTAAATGCAGGTATCCACATACTTTTGGTTGATCATAGTCATCTTTCACAGACCCTCTAGACCACAGGTTGGAAACCACTGGTCTAGAGGGATTTCTGCAGTGGTAATGATAAAGCATTACATAGAGGAAAACATTACAGAACATGTGTTATAGGAAGATATGTTTGTGCAATGACAGAAACACCCAAGGCCAAGGAGTTATTTGACCTTTTCTTCCACCCCCATCAGCCTGGCAGAACAGATTTTTGTCTTTGCCAAGAAACAACCCACAGAGATAGTGCTCATGGTAAATGCTATGCATGAGGTTGTCCCCTCTTGGCTGAATACTCATGCAGTCTGAGCCATAGAGTCAGATAAGAAATCCATCCAGTAGATTGAAGGAAGAGTGGTATGAATGGCACATACTTCCTAATAACACTGAAGAGCAAAGGGGTAATTGGGCAAGTCAAGCATTAGTGCTGTACCTGAAGGAGCTACTCAAAGGCTTTGTAGAAGAAAGTATCTGAGGCCCATTTATGTCAAAGAATATCAAATCAGAGAGGTTCACAAAACATATGGGCATTTACTACAATTTTTACTATAGCATACATTTTTAAATAGACAAGAATAAAGTCTTTGGGTAAAATATTCAGAACTGCCTAAATCACTTAAGAGCTTAAGTTCCATTCCAAAAGACAGGCAATTAATATCCTAAATCACATTGACATTTAATGAGATTTATGCTCCTGAGTGCCTAAATCATTTTTGAAAATGGGTTTAAGCTCCTAAATTAGAGGGAGTCATTTGAAAAAATTGCCCCTTAATATTTGCAGATCTCTCTTGAAAATGAAGAACACTGTGTACTTTTAAAAAATGTATTTGATTCGAAGATACATTGCTACATGAAATATTTTTTTCCCTAATACACTTTCTGAATGGCGACTATAAATTTGCTGTTTGAAACGTGGGAAGCTGATAAAGTTGGTTCTGTTCTTGAGGTAGAGATCATAAGTCTTGCATAGTCTGGTAAGTAACTAACCCTAAATGATGCTTTCGGATACTAGAATTATACATACATTTCAGCCTGGTTGTGTTGTACCTAAACTGTTCAGTATATTTTGTTTTTTGTATTCAGAGGAAACAAAGACAACAGGGAAACTGGTACGACAAATATAATGATATACGTGTATAGAAAGGTTTTAACTTAGCACTCCCACCAATATGTTGCAAAATCTCCCAGACTGTTGTAATTTTGGGATTCGATCAGGGAATTTTGAAACAGGTGCTCAATGAAGCATTCTCTGAGAATTAGTGGAAGTCTCTCCCCATGTTATTATTTTAACTCTCAGTGAAAATAGAAACTGCAGCAGCAGCTGTGAGCAGAATTTAAGAATTCAGGATATTAGTTTCTAAATTATTATTGCCTTTATATGGAGAAGCACCCATTTAGAAGGATGTATATGATACTTAAATTGGAGTTTGACTTCAGTGAACTGGGTTTTTGAATATTTAGCTTCAATGAACTGGACATCATCCAGTTTTTGCTTTTTTTTTTATTTCTCAGATATATTGAGAAACAATTTCTTATATATACTGTACAACAAAAATTAAACCCAGCTTGGCAGAAACAACTGTAGATTGTTAACTTCAGAGCATGGCCCTGCTCTCATAACTTTTGACAAGGTTCTGAATTTTAGTGGTAGAACACCCCCTGCCTGTGAGTCTCCCTCAAATTAAAATAATCTTTGACAGTTCAGGAGGTGATTTTCCTCAAACAGCCTGCACAAGGGAGCCTGCTGTGTCTAATTTCCTCTCAGCCTGACCTATTATGATCCCCTTGCTGCTTATTCACCTGGCCTCTGAAATGCCTTTGTGTTAAGCATAGGTAATTGCAGTTGCAAAGTCATTTGACTGTGAATGAATTACTCATGGGAGGCACAGGCTTAGCCCTCCTGAAGACTGAATCCTTCTGTCTACAGACAAGGTTCTTTGGGTAAATCCAATGTCTTTTATTAGGCCAGCTAAAATCGTTGAAAAAATTCTTCTTTGCAAGCTTTTGACAACAAGCTGTCCCTACACTATCCACCCTTGCCTTAGGGAGGGATCATCTCACAATGACAGAAGCCCTCATGTAATGTCCCTGCAGTTCCCAGTCAGACTTTAGTTTCTCTCATCAAACTGTTGACAAGAGTCACTTGAGTGAAAGATGCCTAGGGCTCTGCAGAACTCTAATTAAGGTCTGTGCCCAAATTCTTTACAACTGCAGGGAGAAGTGGCAAAATAAATGAATATCACCAACTACAGCAAACTACAGTCCAGTTTCATCTCTGCTTTAAAAGTAAGATTTCAGGCTGCAGTTAGGTAGTCATAGGGATCCACCTACCAGTTGCAGTGAATGAAACTATTAGAAATGAAGCAAGGACCCAGGCAATGGAAGGTGAATGCATGGTAGGTAACTCTACACACCTGTTAACCACTGAGAATGCAGGCAGACAGCAACAGGTGTGTCTTTTAAACTGATATTCTACTAAATGACTTCTCTGCTAATCTAACTAAAGGTAGAAATCAGCCCTATTTTTCTTTCTTTCTAGGGGGAACTGTTAAAATGGATCCTGTTGGCTTATGTAAGTTTTAAAAGGATGAAAGAGGGATGTCTTTTTTAGTTACATACAGCTGTAAGTATGAGGTCTTGAAAAGTTTCTTCAGGACTGTTGTGAAGGGAGATTTAGAAAGAGTTTGTCAAAGTTGGAAGTGTCTATTCCCTTTGTTTTTGGGTTTGATGTATATGTGCTTGAAAATACAGTGTTCTTGATATGGGATTTTTAAATATAACCATAATGGATTAAAGTTTATATTTTAGGGAGGGAAAAAAATCTGCAATTCTCAGTACTCTGCAACACTGGATAAGTGTGTCTGATAAAGAGGTAGACATTTGTTTCTAGAATCTAAAGTCTCACTTTAATGAGAGGAATGTTTATAGTTCTGATTTATCAAATAAATAGTTTTTAATACAGTATCTAATGCTGATTTTGTGTTCCTTGTCTTCAAAGTGGCCTTTTTCTTTTAAAATGTTCTGTTAATGGGAATATGTGAACTCTCATATAATAGGCTAACTATAATTCTGGAAAATGGCTCTTTGAGATCTTACCAGTCTGATGTCCCAACCCTGTCCTATCCCTGTGTTCTGAAGCATTAGGTGCTTAAAATGTGGGGTTGCTTTTAATGTTAAAGGATTATTTTGGCAGATATAATCTGAAGCTGTTTACAGTGATAGTACAAACTATGCTCCGATCATTTATGCAGAGCTATTTTATTTTCCAAAAATAGGGGGAAAATATTTTGGTGACCTTTTATTCCCATTCCCTTCATTCCCCTGCCCCCCCCACCCCTTACTTACTAGGTAGTTTCTTAATAGCAAGATTTTAATTTAGTAAACTCCAAACTTTTGTAGATGCATTACAGTGTTTAGCATAGGTATAGAAGAGATCTCAGTCATCTGTCAGTGCAGACAATTGTGTGCCATAAGTTTTGTGAACATGTCCAACTCTATCTTTAAGTAAGGATTTGTATTTTTTTTTTTAAGTTAAAATCTTACCTTAAGATAAGATAAGATAAGAAAGCTTGCTATTGCTAGTCTTGTGGAAGAAATGCTGTTAATATGAATCTGGGTTGGGTTGTGTTTGTGGGATTATTTTAATAGCTAGAGAAAAAGTTGCCCAATTTAGTCTCATTACTGTCTATGCGAAAATACATTTATGTCTCTAACATAACCAACAAGTAGAGGTGCACTGATACACTAATCTGATATTGGATCTGTACCTATATAAAAAAAAAACAAAAAAAACCTGACTGTATCAGAAATAAGCCTGATGTGGCCAATAATATGATGGATTAAATGCCCGTGCAGCTGCAGTGCAACAGGTAGGCAGGAAGGAGCACAGCTCGGCAGCTTGGCAAGGTACATGCAAGCTGGTAAGTCTGCTGCGGTGGAAAGGGCATGGTGGGGTAGATCAAGGCCCCCAGGGTGAGGGAGGGAGTGGGGCTAGGGCAGGCACTGCCCAGCCAGAGCAGAGTGGTCACAGGACAGAGCCATGGCTTGTCCAGGGAGCATGGGGAAGTGGGGTGGGGTGGGGGTGGCTCCTGCTGTTGCACACACCCTGGGAAGGTATGAGTGGGTGTGTGTGCCCCTGGATCTGGGCAGGGTGGGCTGCTGCTGCAAGCTGGGGCTGGGACTGTACCAGGCTCTTCCCAGAGGCTGGGGAGTTGGGTGGGCTATGCCAAATGTTGGGGTGGCTGTAGCCCCTTCCCAGCACCACCGCCGCTTCCCCAAGCACAGCCTGGCCCAGCCCCTGCTGGGAGGAGCCTGGTGCAGCCCCAGCCCACAGCTGCAGCCTGCCCTGCTCTGTGCAGATCTGGGGGGCACATGCCCGCCTGGGTTGATTGCAGAGCCCCCCGCCCACACTCCTTCCCTTCCCCTTCCACCACAACAGACTTACCAGTTGGACACAGTTCTTCAAGCTGCTAGGCTGCGTATCAGAAATTGGATCAGTATTGGTCAATGTGCCTCCTTAAAGCTTGGCTATTGGTATCAGCCTCCAAAATCTGTATCGGTGCACCCCTACCAACAAGAGTGATATATATTTTTTTTTTATGGGAGTTCAAGGTGCTAGAGGAATTTTCAAAGCGTCTATTTGTAATATGAAATACCAAAATACCTTTGTAAACAGTTCTTGGGGAATTTCTGAAAATGTTATGCTTTACATTGTGCCCCTGGGGGGGCAGTATTCAGCCCCACACAGTGCTGTGTGCTACATGGGTATACCCTCATGTTCTGGAGTTTCAATACTATAGGAACCTTAGGGGATATTATAAGCTTTATTTTAAACTTGCTGGAAGCATTATAGTTCCAGTTAACAACACGTTGGAAGCTACTGGCATACATTGTCTAACACGCTCAGTTCAGATCTGAACGAAGCAGCCAGATGCTACCGGTGGCTGATGTTTTTTTGTCCATGCTAGTATTTCTACATGTGCACTTGATGGGGGTCTCTCTTTAAGAGTGCATGTGGAAGCAGGAAAAGGGCTAGATCATGGATAGCAATACAGACATTTTTCCCTTACAAACAGCAGTTTGAGGGATTAGGACAGCTTAGTTTCAGCAAATGGGGAAAAAAGCTATAGTACTTAAAGTAAGGAAGTCCAATCTGATGCCTAAATCGGAGTTTCTCTTACCCTCTGCTAAGGCGCTCGGTTAGACTAGGAATGACAAGAAAATCAGAGCTAATAATTTCTTTAAGTGGGGAAAGGTTATTTTCTGAAGATGACATCTGAAAACATTTAACATGGCAGGAGGGGGAAGCCCCTTGTCTTGGAATCAAATATGAGAGAGTGGGTCAAATATATGAGCTGTGACCCTGACCCCAGGCTGCAGCTGCAGTCTTTCCCCCAGTATGCCCTGTCCTTCCTCCATCTTGCCCCCCCCATGACAATTCTGTGCCCCCATTGCAAGTACCCCTCTCCCTTCCCCTTCCCCTTGCTTCCTGTGCTGCTGCTGCTACAGGTCCAGGCTGGGGCTGTGCTCTGTGCCACAAGCTGGAACAGGAGTGGAGCCTGCCAGAGCAATTAGTCTGTGATGGGAGGAGCAAGCTGTGGGAGGAAGGGCAGTGGGGGCACAGGCTGGGGAGAGAGTGGGAGGGGGGCAGGCACCAGGGGGAGTAGGTTTGG